ACAGAATGAAATTCTGTTTCAGTAAAACAAAAAAAGTTAAGTTCCAGGTAGTCCATTCTGTGACTCTCTGAAAACCAAAATGCTCATTAAAACATGTAACAGTAGCTGGGCTTGGTGGCACACTCCTTTAACACCTTTAATCCCAGCACTCAGGAGGTGGAGGCAGAGGCAAGTGGATCTCTGTGAATTTGAGGCCAGCCTGATCTGCATAGTGAGCTTCAGACCAGCTGGGCTATAGCGAGACCCTGTCTCAGAAACACACACACACACATATACACACACACAACATGTAGCAGTGAGGCTAACTCTGCCAGGTTCTGTGATGGCAGTTCACTGGAGTCCTTGCTTCTCAGAGCAGACTCCAAAGGGTAAATTGCACCATCTGCATTTCCAAGTAAGAGCAGGTCAGGGGTGTAACTAGTAAGTATCTGAGTCAGCTTGGAATCCTCAGGTATCTCAAAGCCTGTACCTTTTTCTAATGGAGTGCTACAATGAGAATGCTGTATTTCACCTGTGTAAACATATTTCATAAGGCAGTACAACTTACTGATAAGCTAGGGGCTGGTGGAGGAGACTTAATTTTTCAAACTCTGACTCACCAGGAATTCGGAATTCTATGTAGATCAGCCAGACCTCAGACTCTCAGAGATCCTTCTGCCTCTGCCTCCCAAGTGCTGGGATTAAAGGTGTGTGCCACCATAACCCATGATGGTCTTAATGGGAGCAATTTCTTTCCCCCAGCTCTTTGAACAGTCTGTTCAGCTGGCAAAGGAACTGCTTGAGAAGGTGTTCACTACCCCAGTTGGTGACATCTCTCTCCACCCCAGGACTTGTGCAGGGGCACCTAAGCCAGGTGTTCCACGAGACTTTGCTGAGTTCCATTTATAAATGTAAGGATCAAATGGGTTTTAAGCTGCACTTAGGCTCTTGTCTCTCTAGGAATGGATTTTACACTTCACAGTTAATGATAAAACCAGGGGCTTAGGAGAGAGACTGACCTGGGTTTAAATTCTGCTCTGTCATCTAGTGGCCATGCAGCCCTTCTAAGAGGTTCAGTTTCCTTGTCTCTAAGATGGGAGTGGTGACCATCTCTGTGAGTTCAAGGCCAGCCTGGTCTACATAGTTTCAGGCCAACTGGGACTACAGGGTGACCCTATTGGGGAAAAAAAAAAAAAAATGTTGGGAGATGGTAAGTAGTGATTGAAAAACAGTGCAGGAAGGTTGAAAGTTGCCTTGCCAAATTACTTATAAAGAACTCAGTACCTTGCTGGCATGTATGAAGTGTTTATTTAGGGTTTGTTATGGTAGCTATAGAGAAATTAGGATGTGTTGAGGGATTTAGTCCAATATCTGAAATAACAAGGTAAGGATTTGCTAGAGCCTGGGTAATAGGAAGCCAAGGTTTGGCATCTGCTGGGATGAAAGGTCATAAGCAAGAACTCACTGAAGCTGGGGCCTGCACTGTTTGTGATCTAAAAATGAGTGCCAAGGAGGTGGACTGCTAAAACCAGATGGTCTTTAGTATTCTTGTTAAGCAGTAGAAAGAGCCTTCTCCATCTTCCTGTGGGTATGCTGTGCCATGGGCTTCCGAGGGAAAGTGTACCCTCTAGTAGGGAGATGAGAAGAACCCAAAGCCAAGGTCTTTTCCACAGCAGAGAGGCTCTCTTCCTTTCCTCTACCCACCAGTGAGAGCCTGACTCTTGCTGGTTGTCCTGAGGCTTCCTACAAGAAATACAGAGCCAGTACCTACAGAGCTAAAGGGGAGAGAGGACCCTTGGAAGATGTCAGCTTCATTTCCTAGCAGGGGACCTTGTTGGAGGTAGAATCATAACAAACTGGTGTCTCAGGAGCTCTTCGAAGGCTGTTCTACAGCCTGACTTTTTACAGTCGTACCATGGCCCAATAGTTTTATTAAGTCAAAAGAGATCTTTGACTTTTGAATCTCCCTGCCTGCTCATCAGCACCATTTTTCAGCTGTCATGTGCCACCCCTGTGCTGACAGTGATCCTTTTGAAGACAAGCGCCCCCCATCCCCACACATACTCTAAACATAGACAATTAGATCCCTTTCTCCAGGGTAGTAGAACAGGAATCATATCTAACAGCTTAGAGGAAAGGGAGCAAAGGGGTGTTGAAAGGTTCTAAAGATCATCTTTGAAAAGATCATGCTTGACCATAGAATTTCCCAAAGTGATGATGCTTGGATGGGAGGGCGTCCCTTAAACATCTCCTGCTGGTTCACCTACTCCTCTACTGAAAGCACAGGCAGACAGCAACAGGCACAAGCTAAGCAAAACTGTTTTGGCTGTCATTACTATATGATTTTTTTTCCTTAAGTTGAAAACTGGGGTCCAGATCCAAAACAGATTTTTGTTGGGGAATCTTAATTCCTGTCTGACATAGGAGAGCAGAAGCGGCCAAGTGAAAGACTGGGCCTCGGAAATCAGAGGGTTTTTCCCAATTGTATGTTTCTTCATTGTGCGTATCCACCATCCCTGCTTCAAACATGGACCAATGACACTGGATCCCTCTACCCAGGGTGGTAGAACAAGAATCACCTCTAACTTCTTATAGGAGGTTAGAGGAGTACAGTTATTACTGCCCAGAAGGTATGAGAAGCTCAACTCAGATCCTGCACCAGGACCTTTTCTTTGAGCTGCCCCATTTTTCTTGTTCAGTAAAGTGTACTATATTTTCCATTAAAAAGTAGGTATTGGGGCTAGAGATGGCTCAGTGGTTAAGAGCACTGGCTGCTCTTCCAGAGGACCCAGGTTCAATTCCCAGCACCCACACAGCAGCTAGTAATCATCCAGTAACTCCAGTTCCAGGGGATCTGGCTCCCTCTTCTGACCTCCACGGGCATTACACTACATAGGTGTAGTGTATTTACATACATTCAGGCAATACATTCATACCATACATGTAAAATAAAATAAAAATAATAAAAAATAAGCTATCATAATGTGATGTCTTTTCAATATTAAAAGTCACAGGTGGGGGAAAGAGGAAACTTCACCATTTCTTGGCCAGATTTGTCTGTGGCAGGGGAGAGTTTACATAGCACAGTATATTAGTCCATTTTCTGTTGCTAGTAACACATTACCATACTCGTTAATGATCAATAAAAGGGATATTTTTGGGTTCCTGGTTTTGGTCCCAAGTCAGACGTCCACATCTGAGGAGATAGCCCTTCATGCTGGCAGTCTTTTGAAGCAGCACAGGGGCTCATGTGTCAAGCCTGTGTGTGTCTTTATAGGCTCTCCCTCTTATAAAACCACCAGAACTTACTCATGGAAGCCCCACCCAAATGAATAATCCTAATCACTTCTCAGAGACCCCGCCCATTCAAACACCGCAGATTTTCACTCCTTTGATAACTTGAAGGGATCTTAAGCTCCAGCTTGAGCTGTGGAAACAAAGCTGTATTTATGCCTTCTGCCCCAAAGCTTTACAATTTATATCTTCCACTTGCCCCAGAGATAGGCTTCTGGAAGATGCACAGATGCCACCCCTCTCTCCCAATCTGCCATGTAGCAGTGCACTAGTAGATTATTTGTGTAATCCCTTATTTTTGAACTTGGGAGTTAGTATTTCATAATTAAAGACATTAGTCTTTGTGAAGTCCTTTCCATATTTAGAGTTATCAGCAAAGCTAGGCTTCCAGAGTGGAACTATAGGGCTCTAGGTCTTAAGTACACCTGAAGTTCTGAAAGCACTTTGCCCAATTGTTTTCCAGAGTCTCTTTACACTCCTCAGTGTGGGAAATGCCTTCCCTGTAGCACCTATAATCAGAACCACTTGTGATGGCTGAATGACATGGCATATTCGAGTCCAGCTAGAAACATTAGCCAAGGAGAAGTGAGCTGGTCGAATATCAGAATGTGCTGTAGGCCCTATACACCCTTTCCACTCAGAGCTCAAAAAGTCTGGTGGAGGGGGCAGGAGAGATGGTTTGGCAGTTAAGATCACTGGCTGCTCTTGCAGAGGACCTGGATTTGGTTCCCAGCACCCACATGGCAGCTAGCAATAATCTATAACTCCAGTTCCAGAGGATCTGATGCTCTCTTCTGACCCCCACCGGCATTGTATAACATGGGTGAACGTATATACATGTAGACAATACACTCATAACTAAAAATAATAAAATACTTAAAAAAATTTTTTTAAGGCTGGTGGAGGGGAAAAAAGACAAAGACTGGTATGGGGGGTGTTTCCATGTTTCCAGAGGAAGAGACTGAGGTCGACAGGAAATATATTGGCTCACCTCAGTATTGCTTTTAAGGACACTCATACACATAAAAATAAAAATTCCTTTGAAAAACTCAGCTTGTTACATAGGCATAGGTTATGAGACTAAACAGCAGATGACTTAAATTCACCCACTATCAGCTGGCAGAGCCTGTTTACTGAGAACACGTAGAACTGCAGCGTGGTGCAGTGGGAAGAATAGGACCAGTCAGTTGGTTCTGGTAACCCTTATCCTGAGGAGGAAGAGGCACTGTGGTCTCCTTAAAACTTGGAGGGTAACGTTTAGGTTCTCAAGAGATTGAAACTCATTTTTTCATCTCTAACTTAGCATTCTGGAATCTTGAAAGCATTGCTGATAGACTTAGCACAGCATAGTTATTCATGAGGGTTGATAGGAAAGACAGTAGAAACAAGGCTGTGTCAGGGTCTGTGGGAACAACCCATCCTGAATGGATCATGTGGGATATAGGGAACCTAGGGTGGGAACAAGGCCATGGGATTTGAGATCAGTATGGTAGCTGGAGCCAGCATGTCTAGGTTCTCTCTTCTAGAATGTGCTTTTAATTATGAATTTGGGCACATCATTTTCTGGGTGGCTGGGTATGGTAAGGCTCACTTTACTTCATGTAAAGTATTTAGAAAACCGAGCCCCCAGCATACACAATTTCAGGATGAGTCTGGGTTGGGTTGCTGGTACTGTGCCCTCACCCACTGATCCCATATACACTCCTTGCTTGCCTTCTGTCTTCCAGGTCGATTCTTCAGGACCCACAGTCTCATCGTGTCTCAAACAGGACAGCAGAGGGTACAGGTGGTGGCCTGGCTGGTGGCGATCTCCTGACAGCTGGACCTCCCACAATGTGAAGCTTTGGCTTGAGTTTCCCGGCTTTTAGTTGTGCTCCCCCTTTCTGTCTTTCCTTTTTTATTTTTATGTAAACCATCGAGACTTCTGAAGAACAGAAGGCTGTGCTGTGGACAGATACCATGTCTTTAAGAATATTGAATATGGACAAAGCTATGTATAGACTTCACTGTTAATTTCTTGAGTTAGGAAGCAATTTTGATTTTATATTTCATCTTTCCTATTTTCTTTCTTACACATCTCAGTTTTGCTGTAGCATCTCACTTCCCAGAGAAGTTCTGTCTCCCCAGAGAGTTTGGTGTTTCTCCTGAAATGCGATAAGAAGACATAAGGAGGCAGCTTCCAAGCCACCTCTCTACCAGACGTGGGAACTGTTGGACTCATTGGTGGGCTGGTCCTGGCCAGAACTCAGGCCTCAGGATCAAAGATGAAGAACCACCTGGAAGAGGAAGACCAGGGTTTGGCCAGAAGGATTCCAGAAAGGAGGCCTAAATCATGAGTGTGGTTCTCTTTAAGCTCTCAGGAGCCCCAGGCCATGCCAGTACTGGTACTTGCTTCCCTCTTCAGCTCTTTCCATCTGGGGCCCCAAGGAAGGAGACAGTGATCATTCCTATCACTCGGGGATGAGGAGCCACCCGCTGCACTTTCATGAGCCTACCTTCTGTTAGGATTGTTGTGCCAAACCTCTGCCTAGACATACTGGGTCTTCCTTGGCTACTGTCACTGCTATAAGGCCAACACCCTTCACCCCTCTACCTCCTGGATCATCTTCCCAGGTGTGTTGCAAATGTCCAGCCTGTCACAGAGACTCCCCAGACCCTAAGATCCAGTTGTAACCGTTGCAGAGTGCCCTCAGCTGCCTGCTGTCATCATCTCCTCCCAGTGAAAGGTGTGCCCTGTGAGCTTGGTGACACACATTGTCAAGCACCATCTCCCTTACCCCAAGGAACTTCAAGTTAGGTGCCCCATTTCTATGTAAATCTTGTCTGATGGGAAGAGAAAGGACCTCTTCTGAATGGGGAAGTGTGAGGCAACCCAGGATACCCCATGTGGTTATTAGGGGCTCATATGGAGGCTAGCTACTTGAAAGCATCTCCAGGCTAGGTCCCTGAGACCCTGCTGCCTCTGCCTCGCCTCTTGGCAGTGCTCTTGCAACCTCCTGTGGGAAGGCACCCTCCCACAAGCTCTGCTCAGACCCCACCACTCACTGTTCTGTTGCCCTCTATCTCTGTGTACCTTTGTTTGGTTCTGAAACTTTGTAGGCTTTTCACTGTGTTCTGCCACATGGGATGGGAGTCTCTGGACAAGGAAAGGTATTTGTGTTCATTCTTGTTTTTCATTCTTAGATGAGTGTAGATGAATGGGGAGATAGTTGGAAGGCATTTTGTTAATGTAGCCAAAGTCCCTCCCCTCCCCCCAGGCAGTAGTCCCTTGGCCCTAGAGTGTGGGAAAGGCCAGTACAACATTGAGCCCTGCTGGACTTTGTCCACTTCCATTCTTCTAGCCTTCTCTTAGGCCCCTTAGCACCAAAGTTTCTCTTCTTGGCCAGAGGGCAGCTGCTGTTCCTATAGGCACAAGAGTGCAGGTGGTAAATCAGACCCTTACCATTACTGAAACTTGATGTGCTAGCATCAGTTGTCTCTTTGTCTCTGACATTAGCTTTCTGAGACTGTTCTGAGTGGTGGCTGGGAGGGTAGAGACAGTACATACCCTAATTGCAAACCATGGTCCATCTCTACCATATCATCCTGCTTAACTGGGGGTTGCTGTCTCAAAGGACATGAGCAAATGGGAAAAACAGTCTCTGAGCTTGGTACCCCAACTTCCCTTGGCTGTAGTCCCTGATGTAGACCTAGCAAGTCACTTACTCTACCTGTCATTTTTCTCTGGCTCTTCCCTATCTCTTAACTCTAAGTAAGACTTGGGTTTTAGTACTTCCCCTTGTTACTGGTGTCAGTATTCCCTGTAGGTTACAGGTACCACCTATAGGTGGGTGGCCTTGCGAGGGGCAGCCTGCTTTACTTTATCTGTACTTTATCTTCCATGACTCCCAGCCACTTTTGGCTGGGTGATAGCACCTCTTTCCCTGGCTCAAATGAGGGCCAGGTTTTGAGCCCCAAGTGCCTGTTCCTGCTTTTTCCTCCTTCCCCTCTGCTGTCTGTGCTGTCACCTACCAGCCAGATGGAAAAATTGGCCCTGTGTACATGCTGGCTCTGGTGACCCCTGTATTCTCAGAGCCCAGCTCAGTGTCTGTCTTAGATTAGTTTACTCTCTCTAACTTTCTTCCTTCTGCCTCTTTGTGGGTCTCAGGTCTGCCAGTAGCTCTGTGGGGCATCATCTCAGGCACCTCCCGGTTTGTTAGACCTGTCCATGGTCTAGATGTTTTCAGATCTTATAACAACAGTTGGTCATTCTCTTGGGTGTGAAGATTGCCTGTTGGGTGACCATCCTGGCCTTAGTCCTCTGTGATCACAGCTCAGCTCCTGCCTGGTCAGTGAGAGGAGCCAGCAGGACAGATCATAGTGCCTTATTCCCTTGTCCTTCCCTGGCCAGACTCCGCTGAAAGCATGTGGCTGTCGTCTTTATCCATTTTTCACTTGTATTAAGTCTCCCACCTGCAGATCGCCATAGGGGAAGGAAGACTCAGACCATAACCCCCTCCTGTGGACTGTAACTGGCCACACATACCTCCCACCTGCCTCTGTGGTCCTCACAACGTCCTTAGACCAGGACAGAACACTGCTGCTGCCCACACATCTACACTGCCTTGGTCCCTCCCTATTCTTACCTCTAGCTAGGAAGACACTGACTGCTCCATTTAGACTGGCTCCATTTAACCCTGTTCTGGTCACAGGAGAATAGGGTTCAGGTGGTAGCCTCATCTTGCTCTGGGGGCATTAGGGAAGGGAGTGAGGAATCTGTTCCCACCCTGTAGAATTTGCCCCTTGGCTGCCTATCTGAGGGAGTGTTTTAAATGTTTACTCAAGAAATACCCTGTTTACAGCTGGAGGAGAAATGTGCCCATACTGGGTAGAGATCTGACTGGACAGGGCCTGGCCTCCTCTGTGGCACTGCCAGTGGCCCTAGCACTAAGGTAGGGAAGCCTGGAGTGAGCAGAGGCTCTTTACTTACTCTGCTCCCTGACCCTGTGGTGCTAAGACCACTCCCCACCTTCCTCACAGCCGCCTTCACCCAACATTCCCCACCTCCATTATTCCTTTCCTCCAAGATTCTTAGCTCCTTGACCTATCACTTGTCTCCCACCCTAGAATACCAGTGTTTGCAGCAATAAGATTATTGTTTTTGCTTGTGTCTTTTTTCCAAGACTAGGAAAAGCGTTAGTATTTTGGGAATCTTTATGCTATTGGCTGTTTACCATTTTAGAAGAAACATAAAAGGATGGATGATGTTTGCGTTAACTTTGGGGTATCTTGGAAATTTGGGAAGAGTAAGAGTCCAGCTGCTATCCTCTAAGGAAGGGAACTTAACTGCCCTTCCTTTGGTCTGTACCACCCCTCCCACACTGCCACCAAGAGCTCTTCCCTCCTTCGGTTTTGTTCCCTTGCCCTTCCTCCCACATCTGGGGACACTAGTGACTAGGTGGATGTTTTGTTAGCCTTCCCCTTGACTAGGTTCTCACTCCCTGGCTAGCAGCCCCGGACAGATAGCTGCTGGGAGTCTCTGAGGACTGGCTACCTCAGAATTGACTAAGTTGGGATTATTCAGCTCTCCAGGCCAGCAGACTTGGGGGTGGGGGGAGGGGCAGGAGACTGAGGTACTGCCTCTGTCATACAGCCTTCAGGTCCCTTTGAGAGCAGGAAGCCTTGTCTGGAAATGTGTTCTGGAAGGTGAACATGTAGGTGCAACGTAGCATTGGCTGGCACCAGCATCTATGACCATCACTGAGGGATGCATCCACTGCCATTGGTTGCCTGGGGCCTCTAGGATTGCAGAGTGTACCAGAAGACGCCTGCCACTTTTTCCCAGGCAAGATCATAGGAAGGAAGAAGGGAACTGGGGGAGGGGGGGGAGCATTTTAAAATTATGCCCCAGGGGCTGCTTGCCCTCAAAACTGGAGGGTTCAGTTATTTAATGCTCAGTGTGGGTCATACTTGGTTGTGGGGGAGGTTTTAAGTCGGGCACAAAGGTAGTTTCAAATACTAGTTGATCTATTTTTCCTTACTTCTTTTTTGCACAGAAGCTGGTAATATAGGACCTACGTGTGAACAACTTTATATGAACATTTTTTGTACTTGGTTTACTTGGGTTGGTATGATACATTATATTTAAGTTCTTTGAACACTGTGGATCCCCCTAATGTGTATGAATGACTGGAGCTTTGTAAATTAAGGGACGTTTGTGTGAATAAAGTTATTTGATGGGGTCAAAGAAGCCATATACTATTTGAAGTTGAGTGTTTTGTGGTTTTGTTGCTGCCTGTTTGGGAAAGTGGAAAGCCACTGGAATTAGGGTCAGAGCCTGGGCCCTGGCAGCCCTAACAAGCTAGACTTGCTGAATCTGCCCTCAATAGACCGATTAAAGTGATAGCGAAAAAGCTTGCCAACAGGGAAAGACAACAGCCTCAGTGCACCTCTGTCTCTTCATGTGATACGGAGGTACTGATGACCTCCTTCAGAGTAAGCGAGGCCCAAATAGGAACCTAACACTGGGCCCAGCAGTGTGAGCTTTGTAGTATCTTTTCCTGAAGAGTCAGCTTTAGGATTTTAGTGGAGCCTGTGAAGCTGAGCCCTGATTTTCCTGGCACTGCGGAGCCCTGGATGAAGCTCACCTGTCTGATAAGGATTTTGTTTGATAGGGAGCCCACCACCATCTGTGCCTTTTTCAAGGAGACCTCTGAGCCCAGAAAAGAAAAAGTAAACCCAAAACACAAAAGGACATAACGGGGACATTGGAATGTATATTGGAAGAAAAGGTAAAAGAGACTTCTGACACAGATTTTGGACTATGTAAACTATGTTCTAGGGCCAGGATTTGGGGGCAAAGCCTCCTACAAAAGATTCCAGTTGAGCTGGAGCTTAAGAGAGGGTAACTCACAAGTTGTTGGGGTTTTTTGTTGTTGTTTGACACAGGCTCTCCAGTAACCCAAGCTGGCCTGGCACTTGCTGTGTAGACCAAGTTGGCCTTGATCTCACAGAGATCCACCTGCCTCTGCCTCCCTAGTGCTGGGACTAAAGGCATGTGACTCCATGCCCAGCTGTTTACGTAAATTTTTTTTTTTTTTTCTGTCTTTGAAACAAGGTCTTCTTGTAGCCTCATCTGGCCTGGAACTCACTGTGTAGACCAGGCTGACCTTGAACTCACAGAGATCCTCCTACCTCTGCCTCCCGAGCGCTGGGACTATAGGCGTATGCCATCATGTCCGGCTAAGTAAAAGTTTCTTAAAGGTATGTGCCACCACACCCTGCTTCAGCCAAACTTTTAAAGAGATTGTACCATTTATACATTACCACTAAGTGTATTTTTGCCATATCTCCTTATAGTTAAGCTAGTGGCAGTAAAGTGGTCACGAGCTGCAAATGTCTATTCCAATGTACAGTGAAAAGGAGAGGGAGAATAATTCTTTAGGTTCTGATATAGTCACTGAAATTGAAGCCAACCTCATCTATATAGTGAGTTCCAGGCCAGCAGGGGCTACAGGGAGACATCCTCTGTAGCGTGATATAAGTACTCAACACCAAGGATTTAGACCTTCAAGGGAAAGATTCACAGTACCCAGTGCCTTAGTTACTTTCTCATTGCTTTGGTAAAATGTCATGACAAAAGCAACTTAAAGTTGGTATAGTGTCTTTAATCCTAGCACCGAGGGGGCAGAGATGTGAGAATCTTTGAGTTTGAGACCAACTTGGTCTACGTAGCAAATCCCAGGCTAGCCAGGGCTACATAGTGAGATGATACTGCCACAAAGGGAGAGAAAAAGCTAACTTAAGGGCAAAAAGATTATTCTGGCTCACAGTTCAAGAGTTCAGTCCATGGCTGGAAAATCGAGGGGCAGGTGTTTGGAGCAGATGGTCACATTTGCCTTTGCGAACAGAGCAATGAAGGCATGCATGCTAGGGCTCAGCTTAATCACTTATACAGTTCAGGATCTCCTGTCCACAATTAAGATACGTTTTCCAGAAGCTGAAAAGATGGCTTAGTGGTTAATAGTACTTGCAGAGGACCTGGATTAGGTTCCCAGCACCCACATGGTGGTTAGCACCCATCCTTAACTTCAGTTCCAGGGGATCTGCCATCCTTTTCTGGCCTCCTTGCGCAGACACACACATATGGTCTACCTACATACATGCAGGCAAAACAAATCTTTAAAAAACAAGGTTAGGTTTTCCCACATCCACTAACATAATCAAGATAATCCCCCACAGGATTATTTCAGAATTAGAGTCTGTCAGGCTGACAGTACTGATCATCATAACTCCACCCCTTTGTCAACCTGAGCCAACAATCACACAGAACATCTGAAACCATCTTATTCAAATAAAATACCTTTTTTTTTTTAGTATTTTTGAGACAGGGTCTCCCTGTAGCCCCAGCGGCACTCACTGTGTAGACCAGGCTGGCCTTGAACTCACAGAGATCCACCTGCTTCTGCCTCCCTAGTGCTGGGATTAAAAGTATGCACCACCACGCCCAGCCCGACACATTACTTTTAAGCTATAATCTACCAATTGTCTCCATAGGCCCACAACCCTAATATAATACAAATGCATTCAGTAAAAATTTTAAGTGTCTCCATAGTCTTTAATTTTTTTTATACACTTACTTTGTGTGTGTGCGTGCATGTGCACACTTGTTTGTATGCACACACGTGCTATGGCATACATGGGGAGGTCAGAGGACAACCTAAGGGAAGTTGGTTTTCTCTTTCCATTTTGTGGATTCCAGAGATTGAACTCAGGTTATCAGGCTTAGTGGCAAATGCCTTTACCAGCTGACCCATCTTGCTACTCCTGTCTCACAGTCAGTACTTTAAAAGTCTGAAGTCTCTGTGAGCGCCTGTAAAATCAAAATTAAGTTAGATAGGTTCAATTTACAGTCTGTAAAGTAAACTACCCCAAAGGAAGAGTGGCAAGGAATGATGAGGTTAACGCAGACCCAAACCCAGCAGGGCAAACACCAAATTTTGCACCTCCATATCTGGAGTTTGGACTCATGATGAAACTGGTTGGTCTCCGAACGACCTAGGTAGCTTCATCTGTTCAGTTCTGCTGCCTGTAGCACACAACCTCTCAAGTTGGCTTCACTGTGTATGCAACTTAACTTGGTGGATGTCCCACAATCCTTGCATCTCCTGGAGTCTCCATTGCAATTTAGGCTTGCTTCACTTTCAGTTTCATACAATGGACCCTCAGGACATCTGCTGGGACTCCAGCCCTCCCACACATTTCCTAGCCTCAGCTGTTCTTAATGAATGACCTCTTAAATCTTGGGTCTTTCATACATTCAGAACCAGTACCACTTGGACAATCCTGCCAAGCTATGCTTCCAGCTTAAAGTGGAGCCTCTGATGAGAACAGCTTTCCTATTACTCTAGTGCGGTGTAGGAGGTGTCCCCTTAATGGCATTTTTCTCATTAAGAGTTACAGTTGCTCCCTGCCAGAAACTTGAAGCTTGTTTACACACCTTTCCTCTGCCAAACAAATTAGTCAACTTTAAATTCAACTTCATTCAGGTTCTCAGGACATGGACAGAAGAAAGCCAGATTCTTGACCAAAATATCACATGAAAGGTCCCTAGCCCAGTTCCAAATAGAGTCCTAATGTCACTATTTATGTGTCAGCATTTTTGTCTTCCAAGGTCTCATCAAAATGTCCCATTAAATTTACTTAGAGCAACTGGAGAGATGGCTTAGCAGTTAAGAGCACTGATTGCTCTTGCAGAGGATCCAGGTTCAACTTCCAGCACCCACATGGCAACTAACAACCATCTGTAACTCCAGTTCCAGGAGCTCTGATGCCTTCTGATCTCCTTGGGCATTACATGACATGGGTACACTTACACACATGCAGGCAATACGCTCATACACATAAAATAATAAAATATTTTTAAATGTGCTTATAGTATTTAATGGCTTCCTAGCCCAGTGGCCCAAACTCAGCCACAATCCTCCCACAAACAGTTCTAAAGTCCCAAGAACCAGGTGGTCAGGTTTCCCCCACTTGGTACTGGTTTCTATGTTTGATTCCTTCTATTTCTATGATAAAATACCCAAACAAAAGCAACTTGGAAAAAAAATTCATTCTATCTCACAGTTCAAATGTACAGTTCATCATGGCTGGAAAGTTAAGGTGGCAGGAGCTTGAAGCAGGTGATCACTTATGTCCACAGTTGGGAACAAAGCAATGGATGCAGGCATGCTGGTACTCAGTCAACTTTCTTTATACAGCACAGGATCCCATGCCTCAAGCACAATTAAGATGGGTCTTCACAAATCAGTTAATGTGATCCAAAGAATCCCTCCCAGCCATGCTCAGACTCATCTCCCAGGTGATTATAGATTTCTGTCAAGTTGTCAACATTAACCATCACACCCAACTAAGTCAGTGTTCTTGCCAGTGGAAGGAGTTACCCAGGACCTCATTAATATTGCCCCCTGCCACCTGCTTCAAATTGTGCTTCAACTTCAGCCCTAGGTTTGACAGTTTGATAAATACCTGCTCCCAGCCTACTCACTGCTGGCCAGGAGAGACCTGGAGAGCATAGATGGATCATTGTGGAAGACTGGACCTGAGAGAGAGGGAAGGTCCAGGGCTTATGGTGCTTAATGGGGAACTTGGGCAAACTGGAGTACATGGGGTGGAATTCCTGGAGGAGATGAGGCCTGGGGGACTGTGGTCAGAATCTGCTGACCTAAGCAGAACCCTGCTCTACCCTAGAACCCTGCCCAGCCTGCATCTCTCCTGATAGCCTAGGTTCTGAGATGTAACAGCATGGCCCCTTCAGCCTTCTCTGGCTTTCTAACTTTGAGCCTTCCAACAGGTCTTTCCCTCACAATATCCCTGCCTGGGGCTCCAATGCATGCCCTATGGCATTGAGACCTACTCAGTTTCCTTCTAAGTAACACTGCAGGCTTCCATTACACTTAAATTTTTCCTGCTTGCTCCTTATGCCTACCTTTTACTTAGCATCCTCTCAGGCTCTGCCCCAAAGCCTTCTTGGCTTTCTTACTGCCCCTAAACACACTGAACATTTCCATCCCAAGCCTTTGTATTCCTGCCCCACTTGTTATATATTGGTACTTTACTGCTTCATAAAGGTTTCTGTTCATGTCACTTGAACTCCTTCCTGACTCCCTATTTAGAGAAATACCTTACCACCACCACCACCATCACCTTTTTAACATGTTTTATTTTTCATATAGTACTTATCACTAGCACAGT